TGTGGAGTTCGAGCATTACACGCTAACGAAAGACGTCCTATCGACCAATAGGAACACTCGGACCAAAATTATAGTATAAGACAAAATATAACAAGAAGAAGAAGAAGAGATAAATAAAAAAAAAACAGGACGAAATAAGGGTGAGAAGATCCCTTCTACACCAAGTTTCTTTTTTTGGTCAAACCTGCTACACCAAGTTTGAACGATGCTGGATGAACTCAATCTCGTGAAGGGAAAAGGCCTAGAAGGAGCAATTCGGGCCCAAGGCCTATATATATTCTATAGAGCCAATGGTTCAAAATTCGAGAGCCATTTGGTCCCAAATCCATCGTTCCACGAGTCGATCCTCACGTAAAATTACTTTTGGCATGCCGTAGAACAAAAGACCCCATGGATGGTGGGTTGAATCCCAGCGATTCTGCCAATCTCCAAAGTCCAGGGAATCAGGCGCTGGCAATTCATGTTAACGTGTCACTATCATCTTTGTAATTCATGTCGCCGTCCGCCTGAAATACCTCGATTTTGATTCTGCATGCCAAATTATTTAACTACGATGGGAATGTGTTAATTCGTACCAAGTGCGTGTCATATGAAGCCAATATGTCGTGTCGTGTTTTGTTATAGTCGGGTGTTCTTTAATTCGTGTTTAACTCGTGCAAAGGGGTCGAGTTCCGCATTGCCAGCCCTAATCGAAACCCGATGGCTTTAATGATTGACACATAGACTAGAGAAATGTTGTAAATTAAGTCGGATCACAACCGATCGCAGCTAAATTCTAACTGTCATAATCGCGCAATATGCGACTGTATATTCTCTTTACAGAAAAACGTAAATAACACAGCAAACAAGAGACAAGAAGAATGATACACCAGAAACTCTTACGTGGAAATCCAATGTGGGAAAAATTACTAGACGCTAATTCAGGAACTGCTCCACTATAATAAAAGGATTACAATTAATACTCTAACGGTGTTTCTCTTTACAATAGATTCTCACAACTATCCCAAAACACGTCTTTACTTGATGAACTCTCAGAATCTCTCGTGTTTACACACACCCTCTATTGAAGAACTCTCAAGGACTCATGTTTACACATGTTGTTGAAGACTTTTGTGATATCTCTGCAGTATTTTCTGGTGCACTCAGAAACCCCCACCCAAGCCCTTATGTTTATAGTGGTAGACCTCCACCCAAATTAGTAATTATCCCTAATTGATTGACAATCACCACCCAATTAGAAATCTCTCCGATTGATTGGAATTACTCTAATTGGGCAATCACCAAAATTGATTCAATCCCGATATTCTTCCTACATAAGACTCCTTATTTATATAATTTCTTTGTTAGCATCCTACCATAATAGGACTCCTTCCTATTAGGTATTCTTAATGAGCAATTATCGGGATATTTCAAATCGACTCCTGAACGTGTTGGGCTGCTCCACCAAGAAAAACCCAAGCGTCTACTTGTGAAGAGAAACATTGAAAAAATAGATTTAGTAAAGAATAAAAAAAAATTGTAAAGATTCCGAACCAATTTTTCTTTTGGTATCTAATTTAAATTATTGTAAACAAAATGATGAATCATGTATTGAATACTTGATAATTTTTTCGAATTCCACTTTAGAAAGTAAGAGATTCATTGAAAAACTGGCCAATTGTCTCGGTAATTACAAATTACAATTTTGTTCATCTATCTTTCTGTGTGATCATAATATATTTCGAATGTATGCATGGGATTTTTCTGTGATAAGTTAAAATAAAAATTCAATCCGCAATTTATTAGTTCGGAGTAAATATTTTTAGTTTATTGAAATTTTTAATTAATTTTTTATGTACGTTATAATTGATTTAGAATATCGATACATGGATGATATGATTTTGCTGAATACCGCTCTCAATTGAAAAAAAAAAAGTTGCAAACCAACGGTAGCATCGTACTGCCACGTGTAACATTGTTCGCGATGCGCCGCCTTCTTCGCGGTCCTTCTGCTTCCCAACCCAGCGAGCTTTCCGCGTTTCCTGGTGGGACTTGGTCGCAACTTGGTGAAATTCCGGAGCGGACTCAGATTCCATTTGATCGGTCGTCTCACCTTCTCTTCGATTCTTTCGCCACTCGGGCACCCTCGTTCCTCTCTCTCTCTCTCTCTCTCTCTCTCTCGCTCACGCTCACATGCACAATGTCAACACTCTCTCTCCATCCTCTCCTCGCTGCGCAGCCTCCATGCATCATCCTCTCCGCCCTCGAGCGACGCCGATGGGGTCTGAACGCACCGGATCCAGCAAGCTCTACTTCGACGTCCCTCTCTCCAAGGTAAATTACTTAATTCTCACGCATCGCGCGTGCTTGCCGTATTCTTACTGAAAGGCTGAGCCCTTGAATCGCGCAGGTGCCGCTAATTTACTCTCCTTCCTACGACATCGCTTTCCTCGGGATTGTGATAGGATAGGATAAAGTGGGATACTAAGGGCCTGTTTGGCAACTTGCCAAATAATGATTGATTCTGTTCTTTTGTTCCCAGAATCAGTTTGGGAATAGAAATCCGTTTGTTAAATTTTTTTGTGCCCGGGCACAATTTTGCGAAAAATTGTGTCCGGAATCAGTTTTGGAACAAAATCAAGAATAAAAAAAAGTAATTTCTTGATTCTGAAATAATTTTTTCAGAATTGATTCTTCTTGGTTTTTTTCTTTTTTTTGGTTGGTTGTTGTTGTTCTTTGGCCCGCCGGCCGTCGGCCAAGGCCGGCGAGGGCGGCTCACGGCCTCGCCCAGCCAAGGTGAGGCCGACCTCACCGTTGCCACCCAGTTCCGTCGCCTGGGTGGCGACGACGAGACCGGCCTCACCTTGGCTGGGCGAGGCCAACCTCGCCGGCCCTGGCCTGTGGCCGGTCGCCAGCGCGGGCGGCCGGCCATGGCTAAGAAAAGAAGGGGAAAGAAAGAAAAAAAAAGAAATAAATATTAAAAAATTCAAAATATTATTAAAATATTATTAATAAAAAGAAATTTTGTGTAGTTACCCAACGCATTTCTGTTCTTTTTCTATTCTAAGAACAAAAATTTTGGACAGTTACCAAACGCCTTCAAATGCTTAGAAATTGTTTCCGGGCACAGAATAAAAAAGAATCATTTCTGCCCAGAATCTGATTCTGGGCACAGAGTGGTTGCCATGCGCAGCCTAAATCTTCCCGATAATAAAGGTGGACATATCTAATTATATCGAGTGTTTGGTACACTTCAGGATAAGATTAAAAAATAAATATAATTTTCAATTAAATTAGAAAATTCAATTAATTCAAAGCGAAGGAAAAACCCTAAATCTAGGAATTGTGGCCACCGCCTACACAGTGGCCATGATTGAAAATGGCCACCACCAAACATTTGGCGACGTAGATCGGTAAATTTCAAGCTACGACAGAGAGGCCGATCAGGGGAATTTCGGGCGACCACCAGCATTGTCTTTGTGTCACTTCAGATTGATCGAGGTCTGGGTTGTCGGCGATGCCAAAGATTTACGGCCTCTTCAGCATCATCATCCCCTCTTCCCTTGAGACACATAGAGTCCTCCGTGAGGATTCTAGCGTCACTGCGGAACCTGTTTTTGTCCACCACGATGTTGATCACCGTGTCAATGAAGCTGTGCGGGCGGAGCTAGAGTTCCAGCCGCTGATGTTCGAGGTGGTGCAAGCAATGCTTCAATTCGTTCAACAGATGCCCATGAGAAAACTTCTGCCCATTTTGTCTCAAGGTCATCAGATTCATCAAGTCCTAAGGGGCACCCAATTGCTGGCGTACTAGAAGCGGAGATGGGAGAAGAAGAGGAAGGAAGAAGACAATAAGTAGTGACAATTTCGTCTCGTCTTCCACCAGTTGGAACCGAGACAGGTAAAGAGAGTGGCAGACAACGAATCGGAGAGACGAAGGCCGAGGCGGAGGCGTCAGGCGTCAGTTGGATTTATTTGATATAGATGCTCATGAGCTCTTCTCTTTTCCTTAAGTTAATTTTCCTCAAAAAGAATTCTTATCCAATCCGGTTTATCCCACCCTCCCCAGATTTTTAGCCGGACTTATCCGGCTTTGTCGATCCGGTGGATGCTCCCAAACATCGTTATCCCATCCGGTTCAAATCCGGACTATCAAACGCAGCCTAAGTAATTGGATGTGCGGATGTTCATGCTTCATTTAGTTCCCCGTCCCTTCTTCCCTGGACGAGGCTGGTCGATGATGAGGGAAATTGAGCGTTGTTTGTAGCGACGGTTTAATCTGTTTCACCTTTCGACAAGAAGAAAAAAAAGACATTGAAAAACTGAGTCAAGCAAACAAGTGAAGGAGGACAAAATTGTCTCCCTCTTCACCGAGCAAAAACAATTTTCCATTTCGCATAGGAAGTATGTGATGTAGCTAGCAAGGATCACCTAGAGGGGTGAATAGGTGATCTAAAACAATTTTTGTAATTTATGCGGAAACAAAATAAATCATGGAAGAGTCGAATAAAATTCAGATTCAGACAGATTATATAGGCGTGCTCTTGATGTGCGAGAATGTAAAGTAAGAGATAAGGGATAGAGAATCTGCACACAAGTTTATAGTGGTTCGGCTATTTAGCCCTACGTCCACTCTCCACGCTACTTACCTACTGGATTTCACTATGTAATCAAGAGAAATTACAACTTCGAGTGTTAACACTCTTGTGTATGATAGGACTCTCTATCTCACACAATCACTCTTACAAAGTGTTCCTCAAGATCTTAATATTTGGCTCGAATGACAAGAAAAATGATTGATTAAGCTCGGACTTTGGACTTGTTGACTGCGGATGTTCATGCTTCATTTAGTTCCCCGTCCCTTCTTCCCTGGACGAGGCTGGTCGATGATGAGGGAAATTGAGCGTTGTTTGTAGCGACGGTTTAATCTGTTTCACCTTTCGACAAGAAGAAAAAAAAGACATTGAAAAACTGAGTCAAGCAAACAAGTGAAGGAGGACAAAATTGTCTCCCTCTTCACCGAGCAAAAACAATTTTCCATTTCGCATAGGAAGTATGTACAAGGCCCTTTCAAAGGCGGACTCGGCCTCAGAGTATACCAATCTAAAAGCCAATTCTGAAGTGCCACGATAGACCACTAGAGCATTCAGTCTTCGACTTCAGTATTGAAAACAAAACTTGGAAACACAGTGGTGACCTCCCTGGGTGATAACATTCAGTATAAACGGTTAGGTCCATGCTCCCAACTATGACAATCAAGAGTGCGGACACAGTGACATGCAAAGCAAGGACAGAGAGAACGAAGACATACTTTAAGTATGGAAGTGTCATGTTCCTCAGAAGAGCTGGATTTCGCAGCACAAAAGCCTTCCATTCATCTTTGCTGATCCTACCATCCATGTCGGCATCTGCATCCGCAAATGTCTGCGAGAGGAACTTTGCCCTACGGTGAGGACGAGATTATTCCAACAAAAAAATGAGGAGAAAACGAGAAGGAAACCGATGCATATCTTTTGGTGGGGTCTGCATTACCATGTCGATAATAGCCTCGAGGAGGTCCTCGGACAGGCTCGTGTCTGATTCCATCAGAAGTGCAATAACCATTTGCTTGACCTGAAACCAATGGAAGGCTAATGAGCCTATTGCCTAGACGCCCTATTTAATATCAGCAATCGGGATGCATAACAACATCCTCACCTCTTCTCGCTCAATATACCCAGTTTGTCTGAGATCATACAACCTAAATGTAACTGCAAAGAATAGATGTATTACCACCAACACAAAGGAACTCTGCTGCGACAAAATTAGTAAACCATATATTGAATCCTTACAATCTATCTTGTCTTCCACTGGAGCATTGGGATGAAAGACACTGAGTCCATGGACAAACTCTTCAAATTCAATGACACCATTTTTCTTTTCATCGAAAAGATCAAAGGCCTACGAGAGAAATAAAACAGAAAACATACATCAACAAAGAGAGAGAGCGGCCGAGCAAAGATTACGACCGCCACCCGTAACCCAACCTCCTTTGAATCTAACCCGAAACATCATTTTAGTGGCAACAGCTTTTGCTCTGTTTAGTGATGGTTTCGGGAGAAAAGAACAGACGCGGCATCTTCTCCCATTGACATTCATTGTAAAGCTACGTTTGGTCCAGGAAAGCTTTACACAGACACTTTGCAATCACTGAAAATATCAACACTCAAGAAAACCTACATCCAAGAAATAACCCCATATCGACGTTCACTAAAGACCGATCGAATCGGAGCAATTACAGTAAAAACGAGAGAGAAACGATGGATAAGAGTCGCCAAGATTATTTACCCGGTCGAGGAAAAGGTTCTCCCCTGATGGAGTCCGGAATAGTGCTAATTGAAGCTCCTCCTGTTGCACAACAGGTGTGTTTTACAGTCAAAAGCTTGATATGTGGATAGCGTGCTTACAACAAGAAGAGATGCTTGCCCTTAATTGGTGCAAGTAATTGCATAAGGAATTGGGAAAAAGTTGCAATAATTCAGATTTATGAGCAGGAGTTTTAAGCTCCCTACAGTCACTGTGCTCGATGTTATAAACTTACAATAGAGAGATTTGATCGCGTGCAAACTACATGAACAGATCAACAATGATAAGCTGTTAACCTCAAGATAATGAGTAAAAGATCGTAACTTTTAGGTCCCCAAGTAATTCATACTTTATGCCTAGACTAATCAATCTAGCTAAAGGAAATCTAAGAATTCCCCCTCCAAAGGACTCAATAACTAAATGGGTTAATACTACGAAAAGCCCCAAATCGGAACACCCGCGATAAATTTACCCCAAAGTAATTTTTTAATTATCAAAAACCCCAAACTGGTATACCTGTGATAAATTTACCCTCCATTAGTTTCCGTTAAATTTTACTGTCAAATTACTTTGTTAAATAACACGCGGCAGTTGACAAATGCACCAGTTTTGGGTTTTACCCTCTGGTTATCACGGGTGTACCAGTTTGTGATTTTTTGAGGTATTAATCTAATTTAACGAAAACTAACAGAGGGTAAATTTGTTGCAGGTAAATTTAGGATTTAACCCTAAATAGAATAGTATAAAAGCCAGTCTATTAAATGATTCGATGAAACATGTGTTGTAAGTAGCAAACAAATGCGACAGAATTTACCTTGTGAATTAGACCATCGTCAATGATTGAACTACTCAATTTCTTGAACAGCTCATGCAACGCTTCCACTTCGTTCACAGTGACTGCAAGGTAACAAATATAACCCACCGTATATCCATTTTCACAGACATGACACACAGTTCACACAATGGTCACACTTGTTAAAGCAACTGCAATTCCAGAAATTTAACAATTACATACCAGCTTTGCACGTAGTGGACGCACTCATAAGCGAGAATGCACGAGCATAAAAAAGAAAGAAAGAGAGAAAGAAAGGACGGACGGAAAACACCTTGATTCATTTCGAATCGAGCGAGCATTGACGAAAACCCAGAGTTCTTTCCGGGGTGATAAACGCTAATTGCTGACTGTGGATGAGAGAATTCTTCCCAAACACAATGCAGAGGACTTAACTAAAGAAAAAAGAAAATCGCGAGAGAGACAGACAGACAGACAGACAGACATGTCGTCTCATCTGCAAGGCGAGCCAGATCTCTGAAACCGTAACGAAATCCCTGGGGCCGGGGCCGGGGCCAGTACCCGAAGCAATCAACCAATGCGAGCCTCAAAATCTCGAAAGTTGCCAGAAACGGTAGGAAAGCCGCACAGATCCGCTCGCCTACTGTCAGAGAGCTGCATCTCTGCAACAACCCCAAAGAAAACGATGAGGCGAGCACAGCACAGTCCATACAAATTAGTCAGGCATGCTATCCTAGGATAGAAAACTCAGGAGCCCGAGCACGCAAAACTTTCTGTGAACCAACAAATTTAAGAACGTAGACACGCATCGGGATACATGTTTCTGAGAATATAGATTCACTAAACAAGCTCCCGCAGACAAAAATTCCGATTGTACGTCGAGAGAGAGATCACCGAGGATATGTCGGTGTTCATTGGCGCGTGGCAAAACAAAGCTCATGGAAGCTTGGAGAGCTTTCTCTCTCTGCCACCTATCTCGTCTCAAGCAAAAGCGCGCGCGCGCAGTGAGAGAGAGAGAGAGAGGGGTCTCGGATCTTCTTCTTCCTCCTCTTCGTAGGAGAAGCGAGCTTCGTTTCGTGTCGAGTCGAGTCGAGTCGTAACTTTTTCAGCTTCTTCTTCCCCTCTCCGCTCGCATTCGCTGGACGGGAGAGTTCGTGGACCAACCCCGTTTCGATGACCAAACTCGCACTCGCGCTTATTTATTTATGCGGGACGCCGTAGTTATGGGGGTGCTCATCCTAAAACGACCTGGCGTTTTCATCCTTTCTCCTTTCCCTTTCTTTTTTCCTTTTCTTTTTTTCCTTTTGGGTCCCAAAATAAGTTGCCACGTGGGCCTGACTGACGGAGCCCACAGCACAGCCATTCTCAGTTGTTCGTCGCCAGAAAATATTAGGTAGGCCGGTCTTGCCTCGTAAACGGTAGGACACTTCACAAAGAGCGAGAGACAAAGGGACCGATTGGCAGGCCTTGCCTGGACACGTGGCGAGTCGTGTCGTGAACAGGGTGTCCTACCCATCTACGTGGCAAGACCGGCCTAACTGATATTTTCTCGTCGTCCGTCGCCTGTGTGACCACTCCGGGTGTGGTGGCCGGTGACATCAATGACCGTCCACTCGGGAGAGCCCATGTGGCGGCTGAAAAGCCATTTTTTTATAGGCTGGATTAAGTTGATCGGTTTCGACGAGTCAAAACTTTTTATTAAATAGTGTTTTGGGGCATTTTTAATTGCTCCTTTACCGGTATTCATCGTCTCAAAAAAGATAGAAAACCCGATCATGAGCAATTGAGTTAGCAATGCTTCAAAAATGTCATACCGAGTGGTTAGAAGATCTGTATTAATTACACCTTTACATATGATCAAGCCTAGTCGATCGGAGCTCGAATTTCCCGATTATTGTTTTGGAGTCAAGCTCGAGCAAGATATGCAGTATTCTATCGAGCTTGAGCAGCGCTTTGCGTGGAGTCGAGTTCAATCTTCATCTGGCGCGATCTCGTAAGCTTATGTCACGAAAAAGCTAGGTAAATTTATCAAAAATATTAATTTTGGGTAAATTTGTCAAAAAAAATTGAACAAATGCTAGGTTTTCTCTTCATGATTGGGGGCCCCAATATTCCAATTGGCAAGGATTTGCGTACTTGCGGATTAAAAGAATTAAGTATAATAATCCAAAAGATTAATATAATGATTAAGTTGCCCTGAAATTCGTGGCTCCTAGCTAAAACAATCCACCTGGGACCCACTCCGTTCCTAATCTGATTAGCGGATTTTGAATATATGAGCACGTTCCAAACCCTAAAGTTAATGTCATTCTATGAATATCGGTCTCATCGTGTTGAAACTCGGCCCCCACGCCGTGTCAATATGATAATCAATTAATCATAATAGGTTTTACGTACATATAGCCTTCATTTGCCCAGTAACTTAGAACACACCGAGGGATTAGACTTTCTAATATCCATTATGGTCATGTTACGCGTTGCTCGTGATCCAACAAGAAGTTTGGGAGAACTCGTAATGAAAATGGTTAACACCACCAAAAATCCCAAACTAGTACATCCGAAATAAATTTATCCCAAACTAATTTTTTGACTACGAAAAATTCCAAACTTGTATACTTGTAATAAATTTACCCTTTGTTAGTTTTCGTTAAATTTTACTGTCAAATTGATGAGCTGGATGACACGTGGTAGTTGACGGGTGTACCAGTTTAGAGTTTTACCTCTTTGTTTGTCACAAATTTATCAGTTTGTGATTTTTTGTGGTACTAATCCAATTTAACATAGGGTCAATTTTTTACGGGTGTACCAATCTGGAGTTTTTGGTGGTCAAAAAATTAGTTTAGGTTAAATTTATCACAGGTATACCAGTTTGGGGTTTTTGGTGGTTAAAAAATTAGTTTGTGTTAAATTTGTCACGGGTGTACCAGTTTAGGGTTTTTGATGGTTAAAAAATTAATTTGTATTAAATTTGTCATGAGTGTATCAGTTTGTAATTTTTCGTAATATTAAGCCTAATGAAAATGGCTTGATTGAGTATCTTGATTTTTACGTTTACAAAGTTTTCGATATGTCCTATGCTCGCGGTTTATTTATCTAGCGCTTCTTTGTCATGAAAAAATGGAAGAAAAAAGAGAGAATGTTTTACTAGGTGTTTGGTTTTTTTTTTTTTTTTAATAAAATGCAGCTGTTGTGCATAAGATTTTACGGTGACCAATTAATGAGACTTTACGATTTTTAACACGCCGGTTGTACTCGTGTTACGTGTCGTGTCAACATTCTGGAAATCGAATAATTTCACGTGAAATATGCTCAACAATCGCGTGGAAGGCACTACCCGGCGTAACCCTCATGCACACGGGCCGAAAATGAGTACCCTTCGAAAATACATCCGTGAACCGGTCGCGATTAGAAATTCCTCACGAAAGTGCACGAACATTGCTTAGCGCCCACTCAAAATCCCGTCGTGGGTGTAAATTCTTCAAGGTACTTGTAACGAAAACAAATGGGGGACGAACGTGAACGATTGTCTTCCGGCGGTAAAAGTTCTCGACAGGATGGAGATGGCGTAAGCAACGAGAGGCGAATCCCAGTACTGCTAGGGGAGACACTGGGGTATTTCCTCGAACGGAACTTAGCGCTAGGGGGCGAATCCTAGTACTACTAGGGGGGAGACACGAGGGTATTTCCTCGAACGGGACTCGGCTTTTACAGGTCGATGATTCAGCTCGAGGCATACGAGGATCGATATCTGCAAGTGCGCTAATCGGGGCGTTGAGTAGCAGCAGTTCCTGTCGACCGATGATAGGACGCTACACACCATAACTAAAGATATTAAAAGAACAACGCGTAAAATAGAAGAAGAAAAATAAGATTTTAAAAAAAAAGGATTAATATCACGAAAACCCTAAACTGGTAGGCACGCGACAAATTTATCTCGGACTATTTTTTTTAACCACGAAAAACCTCAAACCGGTATGCGTGTGATAAATTTACTCTAAATTAATTTTTTGATTGCTAAAAATCTCAAACCGGTACACTCGTGACAAATTTACGCTCCGTAAAATTGGATTAATACCACTAAAAATCACAAATCGATAAACTTGTGACAAACGGAGGGATAAAACCCCAAACTAGTATAATCGTCAACCATTACGTGTCATCAAACTTAGCAATTTGATGGTACAATTTAACGGAAACACAGGGTAAATTTGTCGCAGATGTACCAGTTTGGAGCTTTTTGTGGTTAAAAAATTAGTTTTTGGTAAATTTGTCACATGCGTACCAGTTTGGGGATTTTGGTGATCAAAAAATTAGTTCGGAGTAAATTTGTCACGAGTGTGCCATTTTGGAGTTATTCGTGATATTAACATAAAAGTAATTGGTTATGTCTCTCACGTGTCAATCGATCGAAAAACCGATCGGAATCCGTTGAAAAATATGTTAACCACAAACAATTGAAGATTTAGTGCATTAAGATATCAAAATTAAAGTTTAGTAATCCGGTTGTAGAATTCGCCAAATTTTAGTTACCAAGGGTAGATCTTATCTAATGTCAACCACATGAATGGTGCGCGAAAGCCGACCCAAACATCACATGATCGCTAAAAGAAACCGTATGACGACATTAGAGTACAAGTGTTTTGGCCTCCGTTTGTTTTGCGAAAAATATTTTTCATGAAGCAATTTTCTAGAAAAATGATAATATTTTCGATTGTTTGGCTGAAACCTGAAAATGAACTAGAAAATATTTCCGCCATTCAATTTGTAAAATCTGATTTGATTTTCTTACGAAAAAAATACCAAAAAAACTTGAATTTTTAATTATTTTTTTCTTTTTCCTTCTTCCTCAGCTGGTGGTCGACAATCGGCCACAGGTGAGGGACAAGCTCACCCAAGGCCGGCAAGTCTTGAGCTCACCAGTTTTCGGCGAGTTGCAGCGGGCTGAACCGAAACCTCTCCTTCGCTCTTTGCTAACTCAGTCAGAAGCTCTTGAAGCAAGGCCTCATTCCTTGTATTTTGGCAGCTTGAATTCTAATGAGACCGACAATGACAGCTTCACTGTCCTCCTTGCTGCATGCGATCAAGTCCTTCGTACAAGCCAATTCGGAGCCGCTGAAGAGGCCTTACACACACTCGAGGCCGGCGAGCTCGAGCCTTGCTAGAGGTCGGCGAGATCGAGCTTGCCACGACTCGACGATTTGGTGAGGTAGAGCCTCGCCCAAGGCTAGCGAGGCTCGTCACACTGAAATCTAGCGAGCTCATTCCTCGTCTGTGGTCAGCGACCGGCTGAGAAAGAAGGAAAAATAAAAATAAAAATAATTAAAATTTTGATTTTTTTTAAAAACATTTTTGTTTCATTAACTAAGGATTTGAACCCAAGCGTCATGGACCTGTGCAAGGCCTTTTGTGAACTCGGGCCTGAGTGGGGACCTGAGCACGACATTTATGAACCCGGGTTTCGGTGCCGGGCAGCGAGCTTGGGCACCAGGGCTTCGGGCTTAGCCTCGATGGACCCAGGCATGGACGCCGGGGCACTAGGTTCGAGCACCGAGGTCCCGAGCTTAGCCTTGATGGACCAGGGCTCAGGTGCTAGAGACCTGGTCTCGAAAGCCGAGAACCCGGGAACCAGCGTTGGGGTTTCCATGCCCAAACATTAAGTTTTGAGTCTAAATGCCGATGCAAAATAAGACGTTGGAAAACGTTTTTCAATTTTCAAAGAGGAAATCATTTTCCTGAATTTAAGCGTAGGTTTTCAGTCCGACTCATTTTCCTAAGCGAACCAAATGCCGAAAAATATTTTTCGCGAAACAAACGGATGCCTTAACGAGTAATACTCCAGTTTTCTAAATATTGACAGCACGTGTCATCTCGAAAGCTAATGTCATTTTGGGAAATCACATCCTATCGAATGGGGTCAGCTCAACTCCTCTTTGTCCCGTCACTTTGGCTATGCTTATCTACCCGATTAGGATCTTCGTTCCATCATTATTACTATCGAGAAAGAATCCCTCCCTAGCAACGATGTTATAACGAGGAGTAAATAGAAATCAGTCGATTCATGTCGACACATCTGCAAGTG